AACACAGCAATGAATGGACAGAGCTATAAAGTTTTATGTTTTGTTACTGAGAATTTACTAACAATTCTTTCAGATTGTATTCTTTATCTTTCTTTTTATCTACTCTGATATAAAACCTATTCTTCCATTAGAAATTAACCCTTCCTGTACGAAGAGGAATTCTTATATTCTCTTGTTTTACCAGTTGGTTTCCAAACTATCATTGAGTTTCACAGGAATCTAGAAAATTCAATAAAATACAGATCACTAATAAAAAGCCTTCAGAATTTGATGAATAATATCACGTCACCAAAAATTTTGATTAAAATTATAAATAATAAATAAATTTCTTCAGTTTTTACCTCCTTTTTAACATCATGAGAATGCCAAAACAGAAAGCCACTGTAAGTACTTAACAAATGCTTGTCTTTGCATTCTGTTATAAGTACAATCATCAGTATATATTTCAAACTCAGGCACTTAACTGAGAGGTACTGAAAAGAAAATCTAAGCAAACAACACCACCACAGACAACCTGCTTTATGTAATGAACAACTACAGATAACATCTAACAATTCATTTGTAAACTACGTCCTATTTTTACAGAACCCTGCAAGAATGAGAATAAATTTTATACTCTGTGCAATATCTTAGGAAGTACTTAAATGATGATTACCTTATGGACACACTATACTCAGGATAAAAGATGCTTTTATACTGAACCCAGATCCCAGTTTCCTCTTCAGTATTCTGGCCATCTACTGAAAAGAGATTGAACGACGTGAATCTTCTCACAGACACTTGTTGGAGATGCACATCTTTCAAGTGCTTTTTCTTCAGAACCTTTGAAATGAAGAATAAATTAAACATTAAGAAAAAAACTTTTCAAGAAAAGAACAAATACAGGCTTCTTTAACTATAAGACAAGAATGGCATCAACCACAACAGCTATGTTGCTAGCTAATAGCTATGAATAACTAGTCCAAGCATGTCAAGCCTGAGAAAAATATTCACTACAGGAGTCAAGAGAATGGATTACGAATGTATTATGTCTCAAGAACTCTAAAGCAAATGTATTGTGTTCCCAAATAAAGTTGCTTTTTAAACTCTGCCTCCAGCAAACCCATGCCAGAATTAGATAGGCAGATTGAGTTCTCTCCTGCTCTTGAATCACCACAACAGAAGTCTGACAGACCAAGCAGGGCTTTCACCATGCAATTTCGGTCCCACTCACTGTCCCTGTGAATGAAATGAGAAAGCATAGACGTCTTCCATGGAATTTAAATGACAGCTCCAAACCATGATCCTCAGGTGCTCTTGTGCTATGTTTTTGCCAGGTAAATCACTTACTACCTCGGAAGTCAGCTGCTGACAAATTTGCCACCTGTAACAGTCTCCAGACTTTGAGATACTACAACTACAAATCCCATATCATTGGCCAACCTTTCCACAAGCCTCAAATACACTGACAGCACCAAATCCAGCACTAAGAAGCCAAAGAAATCAAAGCAATAGCATAGGCGGAGAACGTGGCCACTTACATTTTTTGTAGTAGCTACAAGAATTAAAATATTTGCTTAGGAAAGGGACAATACGAGCCCACTGTCCTGCATAGCATGCTGCACTCGACCCTGCTTTCCAGGAGTGTGTTACCAACTCCTCCATATGGGAAAGCCTGTGCCCAGCTTGTTCAAGCTGTACCACCATGACAAAGGCAACTAGCATTTTCATGCCACACATAAAGGGTAATTCTTCAGGTCAGCGATGTGGAAGGAGAAGAGAAGTCCTGGATGTAAGTTCTTTCTTTTAACAATGGACAAAAAAATGTAAATAATCACCACAACAGTTTTCAAATCAAGGTGCATAAGCACTCCACAATGATGAAAAAATGGAGCAGAAAATAAACTCATCACTAGAGATGAATAGAGCTGCATGAGATAGCTCTATTGAGTAGGAGCACACTGCAATTTTCATGTTTTTGCCAACTAGAGCTAAATCTGAAGTCAAACAAGAAGCAGCTCTCCAGAAATGGAAGCTTTGCATACTGAATGCGTACAAGAAAATAACGGGTCAGTGATTTTTGCTGCACCCAACCTTTGTCGACCGTGCTTTAACTGGAAATGCACTCAGATCCAGCAGCCTTACAATTTGGTGCCATGACCTATTATTTTGTAGAATACTTGGAAGTACTACATACAGGAGCAGAACAATTGTATTTGCTATGCTGTTAGTTTCTAATAGCAGGTCTGATGCATCAGGCTTATTGCTTTTGGATCTTTTTTTTATCAGCAGGGCTCAGCATATGAAAGGCACAGGCATTCTTATCAAAATATTAAAAATGGCTGTGTGCTGTCCACACCATTTCTTCTACTCATGTTATACAAGAGAAAAATACAAACACAAAGAAAATCACAAAACTATCAAAAAGGGAGAACTGAATTAAAAGACAACCAGAATATAATATAATAGCAGTATATCTTGAAATGAAACACCTTGACAACTAAAGAAATCCACCAAGACCTAATTTTTAGAAAAGAATGTTGTTTGGAGGCTTTCTTAAAGCAAAAGCAAGACATTACTAACAGGAAAAAAAAATCCAGCAGTGACATTTTTCTGTTTTGTTGCTGTTATTGCTGTTGTTGTTCTACAGAGATATCTTCTACCTACTCTGTAAAATATATTCTCTAGATTAGTAGAAAATCTAATGAGTATTTGAGCACTCAAAAGAACATTTTTCTCTCAGCCTCAAACTAGAATTATGAGGTCCAATATTAGAAAATTATAACAGCAGGTCAAATCTTTTAAAAACCTAAATATAACTGAGAAAGCAGAGCACAAGGGAAGAATATGTTGCATTATTTATATTTAACTCTGCATTTTCACATTAGGATCAAAGTATCTTTTCTTAGTCAGCTCTTAAAAGCATCACAATTTTTGTTACAGTCTACAAAAACAGCCTGCTGTTCTGCATAATCCACCACCACCAAAACAAACAAACAAAAAAACCAAACAACAGAATGTGACAAATCTACTTAAACATCTAATTCTATTTCAAAAACTTTGAAAAATGGTCCTCTGTAATTTCATGGTGCCCTTTCAGTGAACTTGAATCTTCCAAATTTCCTGAATGCTGCCATTCTAAATGGGTATCTGCCAGGGACCTATAAAACCAACAGGATGGATGTATTTCCAGGTTTTTGCAATGTATGTGGGCTTCAGCTTACCACTAGTCCTGAAGATGCTGGGTGCATCTGTACCAACATCCCCACTGCTTTAGGACAACTCAGTCACTGCAGAGAAACTTAACTCAGAGGCAGGAATGAGCTCAAATACCATCTGCAAGCTTCAGACTCAAAAGAAATCAAACTCAATAACCCCGCAGATTTGTTCAAGTAATCCACTCCTGCTTACTTCATTGTAAGAGCTCTGGTCTACTTGCTCGTTTTGAACCTGCATAGTCCAGTGGATATACAGTACTTCCAAAAGACAATAAATAAACAAACAAATAAATAAATAAAAGAAAGAGCTATCTGCTAACAGCCTCCTGGACAACACTCTCAGACACATTATCTGATTTTTGGGTGGTCCTGTGTGGAGACAGGAGATGGACTTGATCCTTATCAGTCCTTTCCAATTGGGAGTATTCTATGATTTTACGTAACATCCAGAGGAGGGCCACAAAAATGATCCAAGGGATAGAACACCTCTCTACAAGGACAGGCTGAGAGAGCTGGGGCTGATCAGCCTGGAGAAGTGAAGGCTCCAGGGAGATTCATGAGTGGCATTTCAGTATCTAAAGGGGGGCCATAAGAAAGAATGGGACAGACTTTTTAGCAGGGTCTGTTGTTAGGACACACGAAAACAGTTTCAAACTAAAAGAGGAGGGATTTAGAGTATAAGGTTCTTTACTTCTTCCTTAGGCAGAAGAGAGGCAGTGAGGCACAGGAACACATTGAGAGGTGGTAGATGTTCCATCCCTGGAGACACTCAGGGTCAGGCTGGGGGAGCTCTGAGCAATGTGATGTAGCTGTAGGTGTCCCTGTTTATTACAGGGGAGCTGAACTAGGCAGCCTTTAAGGATCCCTTCCAACACAAACGATTCAATGGTTCTGTGTCATAATCAAAACATGAAAAAAAAAACCAAAAAAAAAAAAACCAACAAAAAAAACCCACCATCCATCATTCGTAATCAAAAGACAAGACATTAAAAAAGAAAAAAGCCAGCCAGCCAGAGGGCAGACCAGTCTGCCTTCTGTTTCAGATCCTGGATTTCCACAGATCTCAATTAAGGTCCCTTGGTACTTTATCACTCAGTATGTTAAGAACACATTAATGCTCCCTATAGAGACAATCACTTGAAGTTCACTAGATTTCTTGTACCTGATTGTTTATAGCCTGGCCGCACCAAAAGCCGAATTCAGTGCTGGTGCAGTGCAAACTCCGCTCAGACGTATGGCACTGATTTGGTCTTTACACGCAAAAGTTTTGTTCTAACCAGCTACAGCATAATCTGGAACCATCCCATTCCTACACAAGAGCAGTAGCTAATGCATGTGCTCCTCCTTACAAATTGTTTCGTTACCCAACGGCTCCATTCTGCCGCAAACAGTTTACAAACTCGAGACCAACAAACACATGGAAAAAGCCCAGGAGCTGAGCGCAGCGAACACCCGCACCCCTCCCTCACGAATGGAAGCCGTTCCCTGCGAGTCCCGCTCCGCCCGCCGCCCCGCCACGACCCCTTCCCGCCCGCGGGCTCCCCCTACCTGTCCGAGCAGCCGCCAGCGGGCTCTCGCCGCTCCCGCACCGTTCCCTCCGCACCTGCCCGCGGCGGGGCGGCGCGGGGAGCCGGCAGCCTCAGCCATGCGGGAACGCCTGGGGTTGAGGCAACGAGAGAGCGCGGAGTGGGGAGCGGCGGCCCTGCGGTGCTGGGACCGGCCGGGCTAAGGCTAGGGAGAGAGGAAGCGGGGCGCCATCTTTGTTAATGGCAGTAGCACGTTGCCTGAGGGCGCGGCGCATCTGCTGTACTGCGCGCGGCTCTGTAGGGGTGAGGGCGCGCCTCAAAACGGGGCTTCCGCGGGTTCGGAACCCCGCAGTGTGAAACGCGAGTGACTAAAGCAAGCGGCATGCAGAGACTGACGACAACCGTGCTCCACCGCAGCGACTGGCTGAAGCGCCCCACCGCCATCTTTGCTACGGGCAGTGCTGTCGGGAAACCGGAGCGGCTCGAGCCCGCTGCCATCTTTGCCCGGCCGGAGGGAGAGCCGCCCAGCCCGGGCACGGCTGTGCTGCCGCGGTGAGGGATGGAGCTGACGGGGTGGGGCCGGCTTTTCTGGCCTTCGGCGTGAGGGTGAGAGGGAACGGGGCTGAGGACTGTGGAACACATGGGGTGTTCTCCCTTCCGGAGTTACAGGCGCAGTGGGGTTTGTTTCTTTGCCGATAAGCAGCCCTCCTGAAAGTGATTCTGTTGTTATAACGAGCTTTTAAAGCAGAGAAGAACCAGCATCCCGAAAGCAGCATTTAGTCAGATGCATAGTTACATCTTTCTTGCTCTTCGCTGATAGTTTCAGCAGAGCTAAACTCCTAGCAGCCGGGACCCATGTGTTGGAGCAACATAGAACATCGCCTTAGTTGGAAAGAACCCTTAAAGACCACCTAGTCCAACTGCCCTGCACTGAACAGGGGCACCTACAGCTGGATCAGGTTGCTAAGAGCCCCCCAACCTTGAATGTCTCCAGAGATGGGGCATCCATCACCTCTCTGCACAGCCTGTTCCAGTGCCTCACTGCCCTTACTGTAAAAAATTTCTTCTTTATGTCCTCTTTTAGTTTGAAACCGTTTCCCTGTGCCCTGTCACAACAGACCCTGCCAAAGGGTCTGTCCCATTCTTGCTTATAACCCTCCTTTAAGTACTGGCAGACTGCTGTTGTACCTTGTGCCTTCTCTTCCTCAAGTTGAGTAGCCCCAGCTTTCTCAGCCTGTCCTTGTAGGGAAGGTTTCCTATCCCCTGGATCATTTTTGTGGCCAGCCTCTGGACACTCTTAGAGGCAGGTTAATATGCAAGCTCAATTGCATGTATCACTTGGTAAAACCTTCAGTTTTACTGCTCTCATTTACCTAATGATCTTCGAAAGATGAAGCTTTATCTTCTGATTATGTTATGCATATTTCACTTAGTGCAAGTGATGAGGAGCTTGGGATGTTCATAAATTTCAGGTTGACTATCAAGACTGGATTTGGATATCATGTGTTGGACTGCAAAATCTTTTGTCCGAGGGCTGAGCTTCGGTGTTAAATACTATCCTAAGGATAACCATCTTCCAGCACTATGTCTTTGTAGTACAATAAAACCGAACAAATGCCACATCCTCGACTGGTCAAGAAGTTCATGCAACATCACTGTGCCACCTGGAAGAATCCTGTCATGGAGGTTATTTTCCTGCAAGGTATGCAGTTTGTGTATAGGCAATGTCAACAACTGTCTTGATGCATCTGTTAAGGAAGCCAACTCTGTTTTTCAGAAGTCAAAGAAATACTTTCTTCCTAAAGGGCTTAAAGCAGGAGAATAAAGGCTAGGGCTTCTGTTATGTTCAAGGATGCATACGTTTGTTCAAATTCCCTATACTGTGTTGATGTCAGTCTGCATTTTTGTTGCTTTTTCTGCTGTAACAATTTGTGAAAAATAACAAAGGGGGAAAAAAGTATTTTCTGGAAAGATTCAGAGTGTCAGGAGAAAACATCAGGGCTCTAGAGAGAGAGAAGTCATCCACTTATCCTAAGATGAACTGGCTCAAAAAAAACTTGGCCTTTGGTGTATTTTATCTTAGACATTTTCAGATGGATGTGGAGTTGTTCAAAAACTGTTTCAAGCTGAGGTGTTTCTTCAAAGATGACCAAAAGATCAAATCCAAAATGTTTGTTGAAACCCTCTTATTTCTAACCATCACATAGCAGTTGCTATGCCTGTGCCACAAATGTAGATAAATGTTTCAAGGAAAGTAGCTGAGGTCTTGATGTGTGAGAAACTGTGGCTGCGCTGGCCGTCTGTAACAGGATTACAAACACTGGGCTACAGCACTGGTTTCAGGAGTCAATCATGTGGTCTTTGCCTGTTTGTTTTGGAGCAAATGTTCACATTGTCACCGAGATTCTCTACTATCCTCCTAAATCCTTCTAGATGACTGCTTTATTCTCAGGTGTACTGAAAGGGAATCATCATGAGCTTCCTAAGTGTCCTGTGAAACCTCCCAAAGACTTGTGGATGCTAAGGGAGATTATACATGTACTTGAAAGAGACTTTTAAAGTATTTTTAAATATCCAAAAGCCATATTCATACTCTTGTAGTAACGCAAAGCTGATTTGTCAGTTTGTAGCTCAGGAAATGTCATTGTCTCAGTACATTCACACTGGGGTATAGAATGCTGGTTTGTAGCCATAGTGTTTTTTTTTTCCTTATTCAACAGGAGGGGACAAAAATCCACTTTAAAAGGAAAAAAATCACATCCATAACAGCATCAGAGCTTTTGTACAAAGATCTTCTGAAATCAGAGCAGGAAAACTGGAATAAAATTTCAAGAAGTTATAAAGCTATGACAAAAAGAATAAAGGAAAAAATAGAAGAACTGCACAAAAAGTATACACTCCATTTGGAAAGCCCAAGGGTGAGTGACAAAAGATACAAACTTTTTTTTGTCACTGAATATGATGAACAAGCAGCAAAGCCATTCCTGTTATAAAGTTCTGTTTCATTAGTTATTTTGTTGTGGTAATTTCAAGTGTTGAAGTTTTCAATAATTGTGGATAGCAACAACACAAATTAAGAATAGCTCATACCTATTAAGATAGTATATTTGACCTTAATTTCACCATAGTCAGAAACAAACGAAGATCACACAATCCTCTGCTAACTGATGAAAAATAAGACTACAAGGAGCAAGTGCAGGTGATCTGAGCCATTCACTAAATTTAGAGCATGTATAGATAGCTTAAGTACCCTAACTTTAAAATAACCTTTCTGATGCATGTAATTCCTTCTTCCCCCTCTTCAACATTAAATATGTGCTGTATTCTATCATTTACATACTGTTCTGCTGGACAGAACACTGAATATCGGGATTCTAAGGAGATAATCTATAGCTTAAATGGAAAAATGTTTGTTTTGCATTGAGCAGATAAGATTTGGAGGAAACGTTTACTTTGAGGAGAATGGTGACATATTTTGTTCAAAAGCAGATGATGGTAAGGGATTTCTCTTCTTAACTTGTTACAATTGTTGAAAATGTTGTGCATACATAATTAGTACACTTTTTTTACTTTAAAGCATATTTGCTGTTTATTTTAAGGTTTTTTTTATAACGTTATTTAACAATAGATGAGTAATTCCACAATCCTGAATCTGAAAACATGGGGTGAAAAGAGTAACGGAATGGCGTATTCTGAAACTGAGGTAAGTTTCTGGAAAGGAACTGAGAATCAACCTCTCAGAGCCCCAACTTAAAATGCTAAAAAAGGTCAAGTATCTCAAGAGATTATAAAGAAAACATAAACTAAACAAAAAATACCCAAAAGCCACACTTCAAAATTTAGAGCATTGACCAGATGCTATTGTATGGGTGATTTTATTTTTACACAGTGCATTTGTAGATATCTCATGAAAGAAATCCTTGGTTTCAGTAGTAAATGTTCTTATTAAATACTAGTGTAAAAAAATACTGTTCATTTTGACACACCTCAGTTACAGGATTTTTTTTTATTTTATTTTTTTTTACACTTGTTAAAATGCAACAGATAAAGGAAACGTTCGCATTTTATTCAACACTGAAGATATGGGCTTTTCTGGTACCTTTATTAAACGGATCAGGGTTTCACCAGATGAGAGGTACCTGGCTATCAGCTTAAAAAGTGAAAATTCTGAAGAGGCAACCTGTGTTATTATGAAACTCGGTGATGTTCCCATCGTGGAAGAAGTAATTCCAAATGTTTTTAGTTTCGGTAAGTTGTTTATAAATATCCTATGGGTCACATCAACTTCCAGTACAACATTGCTTTTAGCCTACAAATAATGGTGATAGTACTTAGAAAAATAAAAAAAAAAAAAAAAACTTTTTCCAGTTTAGATCCTCATAGCTGTTGAACAGTTTCTTATTTGAGAGATGTGTTCTCCTACACTGTAAAATTACAAGTTATTTGATACGAATGAGTGACTCCTTTCATGATACAAGTTTTCCCTTTTTATAAAAGCAAGCATTTGTATGTTTGAACACTTTTGCACATCATTCTTCTTATTGAATTCAACATACTTCTTTAAAAATTTACTGACATAACTATTTGCAATATGAGGATCTTTTTATGGGAAGCTGTAGGTAATATACCTCTGCAGCTTCAACTGAAGTCACTGATAGCTGTAAGCACTCTTCTGAGAAGTATAAAAGTGCTCAGTACAGGATGTGATCATTAAATTCAAAACTTAACGAAAACAATCACAACTTTAATCAATTCTTCCAGCACAGATAATGGGGTTTTACATTCCTGTTACAAATACATAGAATTAAACCTAAACAAATGGCCGTTTTTAATAGCATATTAAAGAAGAGAGCAAAAATAGTGCAGTAGAGCACATCCAATGTTCCACATATTATACTGCTAGATGTCATCGAGGATACATAGTTTAGTAAGCAGTTTGCCTCGGCAGGACAAGAATTTACAACACTGGGAAAAAATGCCTAGTTAAAAGCATTAAGGAAAGCTAGAACTTAATGCCATGTTTGCACAGTAGAAGCTTGCAATGTCTGCAATGTCTGTACAATCGCTTGTGAAGTGATTTCAACACAGTGTCCAATGTTCACGGAGCTCCATTTTCTCTCAGTAACAGTGTTTACACTGTTCCAAGTTTGATGTACATTTCTTTTCGTTTTAGAATGGGCTACAAATGATGTTCTGTATTACACAAGTCAGAAGAACCTTAAATGCCAGAATGTGTTCATGACCACTTTCACTAATGAGAAATATACTAAGTTGGTTTACACAGAACAAGATGCAAGGTAATATTCATCTAAAATGCACTAAGTCTTTAACATATTCTGTAGTATTCAATATGTAGACTCTAAGTGGTTTTGAAACAAATTCTTCCATATCACATTTCAGAAGGTAGAAGGCATTTTTAAGTTCTGTTCTGCTGTCTGGGAATGTATTTTCCTCTCCTCTTGATATGTGATCAGCAGCGATTTAACTTTTCTCTGTTACCTCACGAGTTCAGCTGAGTTTATAAATGCCAAGGTCAGGCTCAGGTCAGGGTGTCCTTTAATGAACGCGTGACAGTTTCATACAGAGTAAACCAGACTGTGGGTTTCATTTTGTTTTCTCTGCTATTGATGTCTGATACAACTTTTTAAAAAACATTGAAGTTCAGGCTAATCCTTGCTCTGGGTAATGGATGAGCAAAATCATCACAGCATTCACAGAGAGAGGACTATTGTTGACTGAATACCCTCTCAATAACCTTTCTTTAAGCAGTGGTTTAGGAGGGCAAGAAGGCTCTTGCTGAATGGAGAGCAGAACTGGTTTTTAAACCACGTAGCACTAAAATGATAGATCTGTACAGCATGCCATAAATATTTGTGATTATTCTTACTTCAAGTTACATACTCAATATAGAAATACCCTTTATACATTCATCTAATAAATGAAAAAAAAGTCTGCAGATGAGATGGAGTAGATAAGATCTGTATGTTCTATCTGTACTTGATACATACTTTTGTAAAATCAAACTGCACTGACGTGACGTGTCCCCACAGGGAAACTGTTGGCATAATTCTGAAGGTCATAGTCATTACAGTTAATCTACTAGAAACTTACTCTAAAGGTTCATATGCTAGTGCAGCTCATGATTGAACACAGTTGTTCGTAGGAGATGGCAAGAGATTCTTTTTCATTGCCATAGAGAAGTTGTTCTACATACCACCAACTCTTTCACTTGCAGTCAAATATTTTTTTAGAAGCTGAAGATATCTTGACTTCCTTAAAAAAAAAAGAAAAAAAAAAAAAAACAAGCTACAAGGAAAAAAAAAAGAGATATGAAGGTCAGAGTCCTTGGGGAGAAGTGTAACCTGCATTTCAGCTTGACTCTCTTAGAGGTAAGGTCAACAGAGCCAAACTGTTAGAATCTATACTGAATGCAGTGGCGCACACTTGCTGAATTTCAGTGGATTAGAGGCAGAAAACTGATTACTTGTGGACTTTAGGAGGACACAGACAGTGGGAGTTGTAAAAATGTCAAGATGGTACAATTAGACAAAACAATTGTACCAAAAAACTGGAATTCCTACACCTGCAAATAATTAAAGGCAGTGAAAAATGCTATCCAAGGCTTCGTTTCTTTCACCAGTCAAATATTTTCAAGTCTAGAAGGTTCATTATTGCTGTCAGTGCAGAATACATTACTCAACCCTGCAATTTCTTTTAAAGACAACTAGTTTTAAAGATTCAAAATGGCACAGAAACTCCTATGCCCAAAGATTTGACATATCAATTAATTAGCATGACTCATTTAGAAACTTGAAACTGACTTACAGCCTGAACTTGTCCAATATTAGCATCCAGACACTGCTGAACATTTTCTGTTCCTACATTTTAGAAGCATTTAAAACCAATGGAGTTCCAGAAACAGTTCCCATTTTCCAACTTTGCAACTTTGTCACTTCAGCGCTGTCCATCCTGTCTTATAAAGGCCTGTGTTCTTTGTTTTTTTTCCTTTAAGCTTTTCTTTATTTTCTTACATCAGTAGCACTTGGGCTTTTTAATTATTTACCCTTATAGTATAATAGCTCCTACTTTTTTATTGCAGTTTCCACATGTTACTCATTAATTTCATTAACTTCAATTATTCTTCAGATTTTTTTTTGAATAGGGCTACTATCTAAAAAAAAAAAATCTGTTTTGCATGAATTTTAAAGCCCACATACATCTAACACCCTTCAATCTGAATGATTCAAAAATCTGGATACATTTGGACAACAACTGAACAACTTTCCTTGCAGAGTTCAGGTTCCATACCCCAAACTGTGGGTTTTTGAATGCTGGGATAAATGTAGCAAAAGTGGGTTTGGGAATCAAGTAGTCTGAAATCTCTCCAGCCTACATACAGGCTCGCTGTTTCTTACATTGTAATTGGAAGCCCATGATTCTGAATTAACTGTGTTATTTCTTTCAGATTTTTTGTGGACATACACTGCACAAAAGATAGACGTTTCCTCACTATCAATAGCAACAGCAAGACAACCTCAGAAGTTTGGCTGATTGACTGCAGACATCCTTTTAAGTTACCTGTTCTTGTGCAAGCCCGAACACAAGGGGTCATTTATCACATTGAGCACAGAAACAATGAGTTATATATTCTTACTTCATATGGAGAACCTGCAGAATATAAGGTAATCTTAGGCAATAATAAGAGTCATAGGATTCATTCAGACGCTTGTTGCAGACCACAGAAATAGTAAAGCTAGATTTTAATTCTGTGCTTCACAGCTTACTGAAATAATTTAAGAGAATTACACAGAGTTGCGTGGATTTAAAGACTGACAGTAGTATGTGGAGTCTTGCCTACAGCATGCTGATTTGATTCAGCTTCTTTGGAAAAGCACACTCACTTCTTGGCGTAAACAGCCCCATTTCCCCTTTATTATAATTTGATTTCAGTCTATATAACCAAACAGCTCACAGTTCTACCAGACACAGTGAAGGCATCTGATATTTGAAATTACTTTTGCAAATAACTTTAGATACAAATTTTTCCATAAACTTGTTTCTCTCAGCATCGGTTTTTCTAATCGCATTCAGACATTTTCAGAGGCAGCCTTGCTTTGACAGCTAAAAGTATGCCACTTCCTGGGAGAGAGAAAATGCCTTACTGCTCAGTTGAGAGCATCTTGTCCTGCATGTAGTGCTGAGCATCAGATATGGAAAGATGACCTACTCTCAACACAGTATACATCTAACTTGCTCTTGTGTACTAAATCAAGAACGTACATTGCAGTCACTCAAATGTCACAATCTTTTATTTTTTAAACATTTCCCTACCCCTAACTAAGGAAAAAAGAATAAAGTACATTCAGCTTGCTTTGATCCAACCTTCCAGTTATGCCGCTTCTAAAACCCAACTTAGTTGTCGTAAAGGAACACAATACAATTGCAAATAGAGTTGTAACATCTAATTGCCATCTGTAACACAGATCTCTCTTGCTATCAATACGTAGGCAGTTACTGAATTGTTCTCCTATTTGCCCAAGTAAAGGGAATTTAAAGCCTTCCAGTTTCAGTCATCAATAATCTTTTGTAATTAAAATGGCGAGTGACATCACCTGTATGACTGTACCTCTAACTTATAACTCTCACTTTATCTTGTATTTTGTTCTTGTAGTTGATGAAGGCTTCAGTAGCTTCCACTGGCATGGAGAACTGGCAGTTAGTTTATGCACTGGAAGAGAAAACCAAGCTAATAGACTTGGAGATGTTCCGTGATCACTGTATCATGTTCCTGCAGAAAGCTGGCTGTCTGTACTTAAACGTGATTGCTTTTGTTTCACGTTCAGTTCAATCAATACAGGTATGTTTTAGCTTGGCTCAAGCAACGTGCTTTTTCCAGCACTGTTTCTTTTTAATGTAGCATTACAAAATAAAAGATAAATTACAAAAGTAGAAGTGGTTTGGAAACTAATAGTGACAAAAACATCATTATGATTAATTATATTACCTGTGGATGTTCTTCACAATTTCACACGTGCTGGCTTATTGTAGCAGTTATGAAGTTAAAGAGCAGCTATAGTACAAGTCCATTCTTTCCTCAACTTGCTACCATCAAACTCTTTACAATACAGTCGATTTCTAAGGTAAATAAGCCTTGATTCCCCAAACACTGTATTTTTATCAGGCTGATTTTGTGGTTACATTCATCAGCCAATGCAAGGAAATAAGCATAGCCCTCCCGGAGATTAAAGGCTGGAACATCGAAAAGACAAATATGGTCACTGACCTAAAATGAATAGGAAAACCTAGTATTGCAGTACAACTTCTGTCAAGTATTTCTTCATTTCTCTAGATGTTGCAAAATACTTGTGGAATACAAATAAAGGGTCTCCATTCAAAACCACAGCTTCTAGAGATCATTTAGCTGAAATATTTAATTGATTTGTTTGCCTGAGAAGTACTATCTGAAGAAATTGCAAGTTTATTCCAACAAGCTTCCAAGGCTGCATTCTATAAAACTGCTACAGAGAAAAGGTTTTCAGCAAAGTACATTGCATGGTCTCTGAAACCTTTCATTTTTCAAAATAGTTTTAGTTTATTTATTCAGAGAGAGTCTGCAGTTACTCTGGAGTACTTTGACTTTAGTGCCATTTCAGAAATCTCTCACAAACTAACTCGAGCAAGCAATGGCCTGGCAGAGGGTTTGACTATGTTCCTGCTGCTCACAAAGAATGAATCTTGATTTCTTTTATTCTTAGTGAAGTTAAAAATCTTAAATATAATAGCAGTAAGTGTCTGAGGGTAAATGTGCCAGGAAAAGGTTTTGTTCTTCACAATGGCTGGCACTAAGAACAAAGTTAAGAGGCAGGGGTTTTTGGTGGCTTAGCATTACTGAGCTAACTCACAGCAAAAGCATAACAACTGACATGGACTTGGCTGTGCAACATGTTCAAGCAGGAGTGGAAATCAGAGGGGAAATGGGATCTAAAAATTAAAAACAGTGCAGAATCATTTCAAATGTTTTATTTAAAAAAATCTGTACAAATGCCCATTTTAAACTGGATTCTAATTTAGATTTATTTTTCTGTTTTATCTCATTATTGAATTTCATCCAATAGCCTCAAGTGAAAAGTTTACCACTTTCTGACCGTTCTATTATTGAATGTAAAAGAAATACAGCTTGTGCTACATCCAAGCTGCAGATAATTAGCTTGCTATTCAAAATCTTTTCCTCAGAAGGACACGCTAGGCAGAACTTATAGAAGCAGTGTAAAGGTCTCACTTGAAACGCTCTGTTTTCTCAGCTACCTACATGGGCCTGTGCCTTTGAATTGGAATCTCATCCTGAACACGCCAGCAGCACTTGCTATTTTCAGCTCACCTCCCCAGCACACCCCCCAAGGCGTTTTGCATATTCATTTAAAGAAAATAATCTCATTGAACAAGCTGCAGAAGAGGTACCAATTATTATGAATTGTCACACTACACGTTTACTAGCTAAAAGCAAGGTAAGATTTTTCAGTCCTTTTCCCATTCCCTTTATTCTTCCCTTCCTCCCCACCCATTTGTAGAAAATGCATTTGGCAGGGAATAGAGATTAAAAATGTAAAAGAGCAGTTGGTGTTGTACTTACCAGTGGGCGTTTTCTCCAGTGCTATAGAGGAGAAAAAGAAAGTCGTGATGAGATTTTTTTCATTGATCTGGGTATGCTAGAGAAGATAACAGTCAAGAAGCTCAGCACAGCATAACTCAGACTCACTAAAAGATGTATGGTATCCTGGTATCTATGATAAATGAGAAAAATGTCAGCTGCTGAGGACACCCCACAACCATCTACACAGCACAGATCAAGAAAAGAAAGTTTTAACAGCCTGAGTTTAAAAAAATGGTGATGTTAATAAAGAGTTTGTGCTGCAGTAAGTGGTAAACTGTTTTGTTAATAATAGACATTCTCTGCGTTAAAGGGAGAAGGAAGACTTGGGTGCTTTGGTGGTTTAAAAACTCCTCAGGTGTTGCACTTAAATGAATTTTATACTCTGCATCTATAAGCCTACACAGCAGAGGTTCAGTCTCTTGCTTTATTTTTCAAGAGTGCTTTGTACAATCTAAGTGAAAAAAAATTACTGTAATCAAAAAAACACATTTTAAAATAAATAATTGAAGTTTTCATTGCCATGTGTCATTGAGATTTCTGAAATGTCTGAAATACTCCTTCATTTCCAGGATGAAACTTTGGTGCCAATTACAGTTTTTCATAATACGAATTCTAAAGAGCTACACAGGAAACCACTTCTAGTTCATGTATATGGAGCTTATGGCATAGATTTGAACATGAGCTTTAGAGAAGAGAAGCTGATGTTAATTGAAGAGGGCTGGATATTAGCATATTGCCATGTTAGGTAAGTCAAATATAAAATGGAATTAATATTTTCATTTGTGGGATATTCTGATATTTGTTGATCTACAGCTGAAGAGGTACAGAAATGTTCCTTCCTCACTTCTCCCTCTCCCCCCCCTCATTTAGTTCTAATTCATGTTTTTCACTTCCACCTCTTTTTAGAATTCTCAAAAATCCTTTTTAAAACAAAAAATAAATTTTCCTCTGGGAAAAATAATCTACTTTTAAGACCATGTACTGTGTTCATGTTCTTATGTCCACAGTGTGATTATGTATTAAGTTTTAATCTTTTGAAGTCTCATTATTTTTCACCTCTTCTTTGCTCAAAAAAACCCCCAAAACCTGTTCAAATGTTCACAGTGTTCAAATGGCAGTGATAAGCTACCACCTGCTTTCCTGAGGGCACTGTGTACTAATGCTAAGTCTGTGCCTTCTGAAAACCATTTGCCTTTCTACAGCTAAACATTTAACCTGCCTCTGTATTTTTCTACTTACTAAATCCCGTCCCCAGTTTAGTTACAAACCCATTAGTTTCATAAAAACAGGTCATACAACAGACTATATTGGAGGCACAATTCAGTGGACAAGGGAAGACTGTCACTTTAGGAATAGAGGAGCATTGTTTGAAATACCAGTTCCAAAACAAATTCAACATACAAATATATAGACTCTGCTAATAAAATGGCAATACAATTGTGCAGTTCTTCCTCCCATCTTTGCAAATGTCTTGTGATGCAAATCAATCCTAAGCAGTATCAATGAAAAATTTTGGCAGAATAATCTTTTGATTGATTTTAAACTTAAACCTGGAATAAAGACATTTTAGGTGGATTAGAACAAGAATTGTGGTTGTATGCAAAAGGATACAAGTAAATTTAGTCTTAAAGTTTTATAAATGGTAAAAAATACTACATTTCCTCTTATCTTTGAACTCAAACTAGAAAAAATGAACCTTATTGACAGTCTCAAATCTTATGCTGAACAAAAGAATTTGAGCATCCTGGCAGAGCTGAGAAATCGTCTTTTACTGTTAATAATAAATCTGGCGATAGTGATATAAGAATGGAAGATGTTTCAGTTACCGTTTTCGTAGTTTCCTACAAAAAGATGATATCAGAGTTTGATTTTGTATTGACTACTCTGACACTGCTGATAGCATTTTCACCAGTCATCGTGTGAGGATTTTTTTTTGCTTGTACATAGTGTGTTTTAGCTGCAAGGGGAGGAGTGGGTAAAGACAGGAAGAAAGGGAAGTTAACTGGAAAGACAAAGTGTGATTTAGCAATTCTGTGGCTGCTGCTGTCTTTTATTATGTGAAGATTTACTTGCAACATTTTCCAAACAGACTCCAACTTGAATTGTTTTAAATTCCAGGGGTGGAGGAGAGCTAGGCCTCAGGTGGCACAAAGATGGATGTCAGCAGAACAAACTCAAAGGTCTCTATGACCTTAAGGCTTGCATCATGCTGCTGCATGAACTAGGATTTTCTCAGCCAAAATATACAGCACTAACAGCTGCCAGTGCTGGAGGAGTTCTTGCGGGAGCCATTTGCAACAGCGATCCAGAACTTATCAGAGCCATGGTTTTACAGGTGAGCTGCTGCAGATCCTTCATTATAGCATTTAGCTGTATTCTGTTTTGGTTTTGCTTTTTACCAGTTTCAGAAATTCAAACGTTCCAATTCAAAATTTCCCTTATTTTTTTTCTTTTTAATAATTTTAAGGCACCTTTTGTAGATGTTCTGAACACAATGATGAAAACTCATCTCCCACTGTCAATTGAAGAACAAGAAGAATGGGGAAATCCGTTAGCAGATGAAAAATGTATGAAGTACATCAAAAACTACTGTCCTTATCACAATATTAAGCCACAGGTAAAACTACTGTAGTATTCCACACAGGAGGGGTAGTAAGATGTAGTGCTTCATAGGAAAATAGTTGTAAAAAAAAAAATAAGTTAAAAAATATAAATCTGTTTTACTCTTTCATTGCTTTGCAACCCAACATTTTAAAACTTTGCTGCTGCTTTGTGTTAACTTCACGTTAAAATCATTAACGCAATCAGTAACTATTTCAGTATTTCCTTTGTTTTACTGGCTTATCCAGACTTCAGTGCAGCAGGAAGATGGCACTTTGCACTGATTAAACACAAACAGTGAAATGGAAAAGAAGCTCTATGGCTTTGATACTGTTATCTCAGATGAAAGCTTTAGTTGAAGAATGTTAGCTGTGTTTCATAGCTAATAGATCTTACCATATTAAAAATACTCTGGCATATAAATATTACAAAAGTAAATCTCAACTACTGCTCTGTTAAAGATGTACCATTTCATGATTATTACTCCTTTTTTGTGTAATCATCAGCATGCAGACGTTTCACACCTTTAGCAGTAGGGAGAGGATGGTTTTTGATTACCTTTTGCAAGTGGATGATCCTCTATTATTAATTTGTCATTTTTAAGATCAGAATGCTTTCTTCAGCTAGTGATACAAGATGCTTTTTCAAGACAGAGTAATTATGTAATAGATTCATTTTAGATAAACCATAAGAAGTAGAACTCCTGGATATATAGAGAAAAATGTACTTTTTCATTTCAATAGATCATCAGTTGTCAAGTATCTAACTGGTTTTGGTTTTTAATTTCAGTGCTATCCTTCAGTTTTTATCACAGCATATGAAAATGATCAACGAGTGCCACTAACAGGAATTCTGCGGTATGTTCAGAAACTTAGGAAGGCTACATCAGATCACACCAGCAGAACAGGAAAGGAAGGTAAAATAAGAATATCACAGCTGTATGGACTTGACTAAAGCAGACTAGTCGTGTAATTAAATACTAGAGATTGACTCTTCCTTAAATGCTTCATTTGTTCAATACAATCCAGGAGCCCTCTTTTGCTCAGAATGAGCATGATTACCTTCGAGAATGATGAGAATGATTACCTTTTCCAAAGAAAGAACACATTGGATACATGAACGTTTTTCAAATCCCCAGTTAATAGAAATACAAATAGTTCATCCAGCAAGACCCTCCATGATTATTATTATTTTTTTTAAGAAACATCAGAATACGTTTTTAGAAGGTAGAATAATTATCTATCCCTAAACAACTTGCACTGCCCACTTACCTTTCTTTGTTCATTCAATGTCAAGTGATCAGTAGTTTCATTGTTCCAGGAAACTGGATCCCTAAAATCATCTTAGACATCCAGGCAAGTGGCAGTCATTGTGACTCATCCTGGGAGGATTCACTGACTGAGGTATGTTCCCTTCACTGTACACTTGCACAGCACTGTGGGGAGGTATCCCTCAGCTGATACTTAAACTTTAGCAACTGATGCAGTCACTGAAGGCATGTTTTAAATATTAAAAACAAAACAGAAACAAACCCCAAAACTGTTGAAATTAAGGTTGTTCTTGCATTTATATATGGAAAGGAGCCATTGACATCTAGATCATTGAACCTCATTGTGCTTTAAACCTCAAGGCAGCATTAAACTCCCACTGTGATGTGCCAAGAGCTTTTAATGAAAGGCTCTAAGTTGTGAAAAATATTCCAGCACGAAAAGTCGTGCACTGTAGAGTATTAAGACCTTATTTATATCCATCTTCCTCATAAAGTATATATGGTGGGCTTGAGTGTTACGTTTTGGAACATGAGTTACAATTAAGTTTCAATGTTTTACACTTAATACCAGAGGGTGCCTGCTGAAAGCAACAGGCTGCCATGACCTGTCATTTTGCTGCTCATGTCTCAGACTATCACAGATTCCTGTTATTTATTTATTTTAAAAATCCTAGCAAATGCTAGTTATTGTGGCAATTGTATTTTGTTTTAGGGCAAGGTATTGCTTAGTATCAGTATGTAAAAGATTGTAATAGCTGTACAATAACCTTGGCAGTTTATAGTGCAAAGAATTTCATTATTTTGTAATTATTTGCTTTAGGTTGCAAGACACCTTGCTTTTCTGAAAAAGGAACTTCAAGTGTGACATCCCCAGCATTAAATCAAGTCCTGTAAATAGCTGATAAACACATCCACCACCTAAAGAAGTTCAAGTCAGATTTTCATTTGTATGAAAAAGTGTCTTCTCCAGATGTATTACTGCATTATGGGCACAAACACACCAGATACACAGGGACAAAATTGGGTTTGGCATCAGTTTATAAAGAACCCAACTAAACTAAATACCTTCCCTACCAAATGGTACAGAAGGAGCTGCTTTCCTAAGTGGTTCTGTTCATAAGCAAGCAGTACAGCACTGTACAAGTGGAGCTGTAGTGCAAGACAGCTTGTGCTGAAAGTCGAATGTACAAAGACATGAATGTTTTATGACTTTTTATCCAAGAGTAAATTCTACACAAGGCAGTAAATCCCCTCCCCAAAGTTGTATTTAATCAAAAAATCTCACTAAATTATTCCCAAACTAATTTCCATATGTAGGAAAATACTGTTGCCCTTCCTATCTATCCAGTACATTACACTGTACTAATCATATAAAAAAGGACTCTCAAGAACAGGAATTTAGAGGAAATCTTTTATCTGATAAGATAAAAGCATAGGAATCTTAAAAATTAGGTGCCTCCAGAAGATAATACAAAATGAATGCCAAAGTTGTGAACGCTATTTAAATGACAAAATTGTTTATTACCCAGTACAGATACAAGACAATTTGGTATTAATTTTATTTTTCAAGCTGTTTATTGTGTACAGAAAGCAAGCCTGAAAAGCCAAAAAGAATTAGCATTTCTCTGAAACAAGCATTTTCTAAGTTAACATGAAAGCTACTCTTGCATTTAGCAGTTCATGTAGAGTAAATTGAAGGCACTGGAATAACAAGCTTTTTCAGACACAAAACAGTTTTCTTGAAAAGCTTCCATATTATGAACAGGCTTTCCTGTTTTATATTCAAGGACCAGACCTTCTCCTGCCTCAGTTTTAATTATTCTGGTATCAACAGTGTTACCAGTATTGCTAAAATTAGTACTTAGTCTTATCACAGCTTGAGATGGGAGGCTTGGAACCATAGCTTTCAGATCTATTGTGGATTCCTGCCCAAAATTGAGAACCATCATAAAGACACTGTCTAACCCATCCAATTCCCTCACGTACACAAAAAGATCACTGTCATTCCAGATGGAGCACATCCACCCCCGATGTATGGGTAGCTCGTTGTTGCGAAGTAGAGTTAGTTCTCTGTACAAATTCAGTGTTGAGTTGGACTGGGCCATCTGAACCTGCAACAGAGTCAGCATTGTATGAGATGGACCTCTCACACGCACTCCATCTACCAGGAAAAACCTCTTAGAATTCAGTTCTAACAATTAATTCTCTTCAAATTTGTCTGCCAATTCCATGTCAAAAGTGCTTTTTCTCCTGCACTTTCTTGAGATTTGTACAGTGGCAGAGATTATCCAGCAGGACAGAATTTCCTTGGCACAGATACTACCTTCCAGCTGTCTCTTGGAGTGTTTAGCATTTGTTCTACAGAAAACCACAGCCATTTAAAGCTTGATAGTGAACCTTTTTCACTGAGTCTGATCTACTGAAGTCATAGGATTTATTTCCTGTTTGTTGGGGTTTCTTTTCTTTTTTCCCCAGTCTTTGCATTTTTGTCTTCAGTGTTGGTCAGCACTTTAGATCAGCAAAATCTGCTTAAGCCACTGCTCAAATACTATTAAAAATGTATTTATATACTTTACAAATAGTCTGTGTAAAGTTATTACAAGGAGGGTGCTTTACATACACTAATATAAATGAAAAGTATTGGATTTCAATTTAATGTTAAAATGATTAAAGGGATGTTAAGTCAACTTGCCACATCAACATTATCGTTGCAGTTGCTCTGTTTAAATGACTACAGCTGAAGCAGACTCTTTGCTGATGCAAGGATTTCTTTTCCTAACAAAATCAGTCAAGATTCAATGCTTTTCTGTTTTCCCCCCTGGAGTTTTGTTTTTGTTACACTGCCAGGTCCCATTAGAAGTCCGAGAAAAATAGATACATCAGGATACTTTTAGACCATTGGTTTGTCACACACGAATACCTACTTCAGCATTGACACTTTGGTAGTCAGAGTTAACAGGTATCCAGCTACTGTTGCCTTCAGTAAAACCAGCATTATCGTTGCTGTTCCACTGCATAGGGGATTGAGCTGGAAAGGTCACCTAGAAAATAAAGTGGTGTTAGAGCCATTACCAAGTTGTGTATTTTAATTAGCCTGTTAAAAAGCTGGCACTTAAATAACACATTCTCAGTTCCACCCATAATCACCATTTCAGCATTATTTTCTCTGGTTGATGTTAAGAATCAGCAAGGAGGATGTAATCCTGATGCAGATCTCAAGAGAAACAGTTAGAAGAATAGCTCTGTGGTAATGGAAGAGAACAGACAGTCCAACAGACACAGCACTACTGGCTAAATGTGGAGTTCCAACTAAGCAGTAGTCTCCCCTTGCAACAGATGATTGACTAAAAGCAGCTAGAATATTCTGATAAATAACTAGACATGCATTTAGGGAAAGTACAAGAAAATGAGTCCCAAGAAGAGATAACAGCAAATGAGTAAATGCTATTGAGAATCTGTTCTTCTCTAGTCACCAAACTTTTCATTGTAGGTCTCTTCAAGCTTGTGTTTGCAAGGACTACAGCTTGGGGAGGACTGCTCGTGTGAGAAACAAATTTCTCAAGTTCAACAACTGTACTGAATAGCAACTTTCAGCTTATTGAAAGGTGTTATGTAAGAAGATGAATGAAGTTCTGATTTTGAGGGATTCAGAAAAATTATGACAAAGCTTCCTCAATGTTATTGAAGAGCTTGCCAAAAGATCTGACACTTAAATTTAATGACATAAGAGGGCATAAAATATTTTGCACATACTTTGGATGTTTGTTTCCTATGAAAATTGTTTTTTTCATATAAAGGACACTTTTCACTACAATCTGTCAGAATAGCAGCTTGACAAAAGAAATTGTCACTTTGCCTCATGACATTATAAATAACGGGTTTCTCCTTTTAGCATGTTCTGAAAAGCAGGGAAAAAAAGAATCCTAAGTTTTTAACACTTGTAACACTCCCTTTTATCTTTACCTTTTCATGATTCTTAAAGACTTTCAAACGCTGGGATTGAAAACTATTTCTTGAGCAAATCCTCTCTACCTCATTAATCAGGGACTCTTCCTCTCCAGATCGAACAAAGAGTGGTTTTGCATTGTTACAAACCCATGAGCCACAGGGTGGCAACTAAATGAGAGAATAACCTGAGGAGCCAAGGGCAAGCCACTTTGCTGAAGAGCATCTTTTTGTCAGCAGTAATCAATGACAGTAAGATAATGCAAGACACATTTTTTGGTTTCTCAGAGACAAAGCGATTTCCTGTCAGAGACATTTCTTCACAGCTGAATCAGACAAACCTAGGGACGATTCTGTGCTTCTCTGAGTGCATCTTTCCCTTTGGTACAAATCTGGCCAATAATACTCTCAGTAACATCACCAGCAGCTGCCTCATTCTGCAACAGAATCATAGGATAGCTTGGGTTGGAAGGGATCTCAAGGATCATCAAGTTCCAGCCCCTCTGCGACAGACAGGGTTTCAACTGTGAGATCAGGTACTGGATCAGATTGCCCAGGGCTCCATCCAACCTGGCCTTAAACACCTCCAGGGATGGGGCATCCACAAACTCTGGCCAATCTGTTCCAGCGCCTCAGCACTCTCTCTGACATCTAATCTAAATCTCCATTCCTTTAGTTTTAAACCATTCCCCCTTGCCCTATCACTACCTGACCACGTAAAAAGTTGATTTCCTTCATATTTATTAACTCCCTTTAAACACTGGAAGGCCACAATGAGGCCTCTCCCAACACCCTTCTCTTTGTCAGGCTGAACAATCATAGAATCATATAGAATCATAGAAGGGCCTGGGTTCAAAAGGACCATAATGATAATTTAGTTTCAACCCCCCTGCTATGTGCAGGGTTGCCAACCACTAGACCAGCTCGCCCATCAGCCTATCTTCATAGGGGAGCCCTTAGATCATCCTCATCTCCTTCCTCTCCAAATTCTCCACATCTTTCCTGTGTTTAGGACCCCAGACTTGGATGCAGTACTCCAGCTGGGGCCACACAAGGGCAGAGTCACGTCCCTCCCCCTGCTGGCCACCCCTTTTGATGCAGTCCAGGATACCATTGGCCGCCTTTGCTGCAAGCGCACACTGCTGGCTCATGTTAAGTTTTTCATCAACCAGGACCTGTAAGTCCTTCTCAGCAGGGCTACTCTCAAGTTCTCCTCCCAGCTTGTAGACGTATCTGCAGTTACCTCAACCCAAGCGCAAAACCTTGCACTTTGCTTTGTAGAACCTCCTTAAGTTCACAAGGGCCCCCTCTTGAGTTTATCAAGGTTCCTCGGATGGCATCCCTTCCTTCTGCTGTATCAACCGCAACGCTCAGTTTGGTGTCATCAGCAAACACTGAGGGCGCCCTCAATCCCATCATCTGCGTCACTGACAAAGATGTTAACAAGTACCGGTCCCAAGAGGAACCCATGGCGAGGTCACCACTCACTGTCTCTGCCTGGACATTGAGCTGCTGACCACAACCTTCTGGCTGCAACCTTCCAACCTTATCCACTGAATCGTCCAGCATTCAATTCTATCTCTCTTCAATTTAGAGATAAGGATGTGGTGGGGGACCATGTCAACGGCCTTGCAGAAGTCGAGGTAGATGACATCAGATATCTTCAATTTGTCCACCACTGCCATCACTCCTTCATAGAAGGCTATCAGATTGGTTAGGCACAATCTTCCCTTTGGGAAGCCATGCTGGCTGTCTCAGAACACCCACTCGTCCCCCTTATGTTCCTTCCAGGAGGATCTGTTCCATGATCTTCCCAAGCAGAGGTGAGGCTTACCAGCCTGTAGTTCCTTGAGTCTTCCTTCCTCCCTTTCCCGTAAATGGGAATGATGTTTCCCTTTTTCCAGTCCCTGGGGGCTTTGCATGATAGCCACAACTTTTCAGATACTATGGAGAGTGGCTCAGCAACAATATCAGCAGCTCCCTTAAGACCCTGGGATGCATGCCTTCTGGCCCCATGGATTTGTACACATTCAGTCCATCTGAGATGGTCTCAGATTTGCTCAGTCCTTACAGTGAGAGAGATTTTGCTCCCCCCAGTTCCCAGCTCTTTGTGAGAATTCTGGCAGCTAGTGAAGACTGAGGCAAAGAACTCAGAGTATCTCAGCCTTCTCCATATCTGTTGTAGCCCATTCTCCTTTATCTTTTAGTAGAGGAGTTATGCTCTCTTTGACCTGCATGTTCTGACCTATGTACCTGTAGAATCTCTTCTTCTTGTTTCTAACATCCCTTGCCAAGTCCAGTCCTGTCTGTGCCTCTGGTTGGTCTGTCCAGTACTTGAACCAGAAAGTTTTATTGTCAGTGCACACCAGGAGTCTCCTGGATCACTTACAGCTCATCATGTTGTAACAGAGGCGTTCCACATTGAGAACTGCATCTGCCTTAGGATCATGTTCTTGAGGTGTTCAACTATAGCCAGAAGATGCAGATCTGGGCTATTCCCTTTTGGGCATGACCTTTTCCAATCGTGCAGGCATATCTCCAGCAAAGAGACTACAGTAGTCAGGTGCAATCATAGAAGAAACAAGAAATCACATACACAACTGAAAGTCAGGCAGGTCAGCACAGTGTGAAAGGCACAGGCACTTTGTTTTAATCCCTTGACTTTGATTAAGTTCTGAACAAACTATAAGCAAACAAACATCCTGCTACGCGTTACCTGTAACTATGAACAAATAAGTGACATATATGGTCTGCAGGCTTGGCCAACAGCTTTGGATCTGAAATCCAAAACAAAAAATGGAGACCCTGCATGACAAGGAAAAACCACTTCTACCATTAAGTTAGCACTTCCTGGTACTTAGCAGTGCCTGGTGTGCTCACACACCTCTTTTTGGAGACCCCCTCTTCTGAGTTTGTGCACTTCAGAGAGGGCTATGGCTTTGACAGGTGCCTCTTTATAGCAAGAATAAAGCAGTTTCCAGGAGACAGGCTTTAGCTACGCTTCCATGAACTCTGAATTCCTTTAAAAATTAGCCAGGAAATAATGGACTTTGATAGAGTGAATAAAGTACTGCGGGAGGAAGGAGACATGGACTCTGTTCTTCCTGCCTTAGGCAACTGCACACCTATCAGAGCCACTGGCCTAGGCCTGACACTGGCAATTGCTATGACTTCTGCTGAAGCAAAGCAAGGCCACCACAGAACATGCTAGTCTGATTCAGCTGAGGGCAGAAAACAGCGACCAGGACTGTAACCTAGCAGCTCAGGAAGGTGCCAGAGCCTTGGTTCTGATTTCAGGCCTGGCCATTTCTGCATCCTGTATAACAGCTTTGCAATGAAGAATATAGTACCACACCTAAACGTTGAGAAAAACTGGATTTGGTTGATCTTGTATTTTCAAATATTCCATTAATCAGAACTAAATAACAACAGGATCAGAATTTATATACTCCTCACTTACATTTGCTGATGCAACGTTCTCCATGCCTATTTCTTCACCATAGTAAGTTATAGGAGTACCAGGGAGGGTTAACAGCAGCATGTTTATAACTTTGACATACTCATTCCCAAACCGAGATGAAATCCGATCAGCGCTCGGGCTTCCGACCTCAAGAAAACATCATTCCATTAAAAAGACATAAAATTCTATGCATACGTGAAACTGGTCTGAGACAAAAACCATCCGGAGTGAACTTCTGTTCACAGGCACCGAAATAAAGGAAAAAATTATTTAAGTTCACATTATCTCCACCAAGCTAAGAGAGCCTGTTCTTCCCTTGTCAAGCGACACACACCAAAATCACTGTCCAGTTGAGTAGCTCAGTAGGTATCAAGTGTATTGGCCAAACACATGCACATCCCAATTGCACAACTAGATTAGTAATTATCTCAAAAGAGATCAATGACAAGAGACCGTCTCATACTAAGAAAAGGGCTTTACAGTGGCCCCCAGCATTGACAGCTGCACTGTTATTTTCTTCCACTTTCACTTCTAGATCTGCAAGGAGGATCTTTTTCTTTTTTTTTTTAAATGCCAGTGCACAATTTTGCCCAAATATTTCAGAACGTAGGTGGCAGATGTAAGGGGAGATGACAAATCAGCCCGAGACTTTGTTAATTCCCCCAGTTATGGCTCCCTTCTCACTGCCATGCATTGTTTTGTGGTGACTCTTATATGGGGTTGTAAGAAGCTGGCAGCCCTGCAAGAGAAATTCCCAAAGGTGAGCATGCTGAAGCATGGGACTGAAACCAAAGAGATCTGTAGGAATGTAGGAAGGGATGTGAAACAAGTGGCTGCAACTTCATTTGGTCTGTATATGAGCTTGTTTTCTTTCTGAAAGCCACCACAGCCGAAAGCTTTTTCTAAATATTAACTTGGACATTTTGCCTCCTCTCACAGAGAAGATGCCTCGAGGGTACAAAATTGCATTCCTGAGGACCACACTTGATACCCAAACAGAACTGCTCCCACACTGCAATTGCAGAAATGGTCGGAGGCTATAGTTTCTGTGTTTTGTGTGTGGCTCATCTCTTTCATATCCCAAATATAGTTCACAGCAAAAACCTGCACAGCTAATCCCACTGAAATCCACGTGTGTGGAGGTTCTATCACCTTATCACCAACAGGAAAGGGCCTTTCCCATAACGGCAAGTCCAAAATTCTTACCACCCAGTTTGGCCATTTTCCTTCAGGCATGTTTTTCATCCACGTGTTGACAGCTTCAGAAACACTGCTGCCAGATAGATTTTTCATGTTAATTAGATAGAAATTGAATGGGAAGTCTGCTTCTTGGACAAAAGTTGTTCCATAATACATCATTGTTCCTTCTATGTCTTCATTTTCATCACTGTCAGAACCCATAAATCTGCAAAGAAGTAAACAAGGAGCCTTTTTTTTTTTGTCTCATCCCTGATTTGTACAGAGCTGAAGAAAGCTAGGAACAGTATTCAACATACTTAGAAAATAATACAGGATTAAGAATTACATCTGCCTCCCTCCTCCTCATAAAAAAAAACCACAACATACAGAGATATTTGTAGTTTGTAAAGCAGATAAGGGGAGATACCTGGAAAGCTGTGGTTTTTTTTTTTTGCATTATTTTTAAACTGCAGGAGTAACTGAGTACTGGCACAGGCTGCCCAGACGGGCTTGTAGTTTCCATCCTCAAAAGCCATTTAGGAATCATCCTGGGCAATTGGCTCTGGATGTCCTTCCTGCTTCAGCAGGGGTTCAGCAGTGGCCTCCAGAGGCAGTTGACAGCCTCAGCTATGCTGTGGTGCTGATAATCTCTGATGATGTATCTGATCTGAACCATACTGTTAATACCGTGCGTGGGATCGGGCTCATGGCCTTTGATTACAATTGTGCCACCATGAGCAATCACACATTCTGCCTACTTGTTACAGGCACAGATACAATACAGCTACCAGAGCTTAACTTACTGCACCTTTCCTTTCCTGTGCACTTTGGGAGAGAGCATAGCCTACTATAGCACTCGAGGACAAAAACCTTACGTGGCGTGGCGTGTTAGAAATTGAAAAAAGACCAAAAAACATTTTACTGCTATAAAGACAGAAACAAAAAGAGAGAAAGAAATTCCCTAGCCACAGCAATGGCTACCTGTATCGGCCAGGTTCAGTGCTGTACTGATCCATGGTTTTGCGGAAGCTACGCATGATGTCATGCATACCAACTTGCGTGGTTGTGTAGTCATGGTAGAGCTCGGAGTAGGCTGTGATGCTCTCCTTCAAGACAAAGCCATGTTATTAATCCAATATTTTAGAGTTCAAAATTCTCCAAATTCTTCCTGAGACAATCCACCAACCCAAGCAAAGTTTTAAACTGACATAAGTTTAGCATACCAGTGTGTTGCTGTGGTAACAACATCGTATTTGTAGAACTGATAAGTTCTGAAATCACCAACACAGCAGATCAGCTATAATCACCAGACTCACTACTTCAACAAAAGCCCAAGTAACAGGATGCTTGCACGTGGCCTCTGGCCACACTTCACTCTAGTATATTGCCAACAGGAGGTGGGGTTTTGTTTGTTTTACTGCAAAGAAGTATGTGTCAGTGCCTGCAATGGGATCCCAAGTGAGCCAGAGTGCTGAGCTCACCTCTTGTAATGGGCTCCCCCAAGACAACCAATGAAATGTTAGAATTCACAGGTCTGGTCTTTTTAGGAAAAAAAATTGAAAAGTCAAAACAGTTTAAACAAAACCAGAAGTAACTGCCTGCACAGAAATAGAGTGGGTGCATGGACAATTCCTACCCACAGCGCTCCTGTTCAACCCTTCCCTGAACGCACTGCTTAAGCAACAAATCCAGGAACCACCTTCCAAGGAACACAACTGACTCAGCACTTCTAAAGCCATAATTAAAACCCCAAAGCGTAAAAAAAGTCTCTTGCACCCATGGAAAGTACAGGAGAAAAAGCCAAAATATACATTACAGGATTCTGAGATTTGTTCACTTGTGGCTCATCTCGTAGATGTGTGGCTTCTAGAAGAAACTTAACAGCGACAAAACTAAATCCATCGACTCCTTTGCCAAGCCAAAATTTGATAACATCCTAGGACAAAGAGAAGAGTTGAGAATTCCAAGTGAGCCCCTCTCATTCAAAATGATACATAATAAAAGAGAAAACCCATCAGTAGACACGAACGTACAACTTATTTTTGAATTTGTACCTCTAATTTTACTTGAAATGAAAGTGAATCCTGTCGAGTTAGAACCGTTATCTAAATAGGTGATGTCCTATCATTTCTTCTGGTATTAAAAAAAAAAAATTGGTCTGCAACTTCTCTCATAATTCATAAGTCCAGGGCCAGAATGTGCCTAAGGGCCTTCCCATCTCTTCTATCAGAAGAGCTTGGATCAGGCTAAGCTCTATTGCTGGAGAACGCCATCTTGCTGCACACAGATAGAGCACACTGATTCAAACGTGATGTATGCTGTTCTGCACAGACCTCATGCCACCACTTTTCATTTTATACAATAGAGCTCTTAGAATATTTGTTCCCTTTTACTTGACAGATGGGGATTTTTCTATTTTATTTTCAGGCTTATTTGTTGACTTGCAGGAACACCAAAATTATTATCCAAGTTAACTGCTATAGATTTATAATTTCACTACCAAATGTAGAGGTTAGTCACTATTAAAGAAACTATTTCTACTTCAGTAGTTATTATATTATCACAGTTCTAATTACTCTATTTTTCACAAACAGCTCTGAAGTTCAATCTCTCTTGAAGAGTTTGTGTAAGTGTTCCTTAAGTACAGAAACTGTTATCTCACCTCAATACAAAAACACCCGTTTGTTTAAAAATGTATGAAATACACTTGCCAGAACAGAACTACTTCTCACTCAAGCTTACAGATTTTTGTTTGGCAAATACCAGGTACTGACTTTGTACTGAGAATGATTACTTTTACTTAAGACAGAAAGCCACAGCCCCTGGTTGCTAAAAGGTTTACTGCTCCCCCATGCCCAGGAACTAAACCAAAAGCAATAGTGTTCTTCAGAGAAGCTGAAGCTTCCTCCTCACTCACACAGTCCTAACATGAAACAGGATTCTGAATTAAATTATTAAAATATTACTTTATAACACGCCAAAGCAATTGATTGTACTCATAAGCATTCACCTAAAGTGAGTATTATCAGGCTAAACTTACTAGTCTTCACTTAATTTCTTCTCAAAGGAACGCAGCACCTATTTGTTACTTCAGCTTCAGTAGCATATCAGTTAAAAAAAAAAAAATTGCCATGGCCATTGAAAAGCACAGGCAATAGCAGGAAAAGCAAAGAGTGGAAAGATGTGGTGCTAAGGGAAGCATCAAGACAGAGAAGTTACTGGTGGAGTTGGTCAAGAATCAATCTTGAGAGCAGTCTCATTTCATGCTTCAATTAATGAACACAACCAAGTAAGTTTTGTTTTGCTCCTTCTCATGCTTGCAGCACCCACAGTGAGGAGAAACAGAGACAGCCAAAGAGATGATTGCACTAGAATTGGGCAGGCAGGAAAACTACCACAAAAAGACACCAAAATTCAGTATCACAGCAGAGAAAAAACCAAGGATTACATCAAAGCTGTCCTACCACCTGGCAGGGAATAACAAAGGTAAGGAAAAAAAAAAAGGAAAAACAGTTGCTATACTCCCCAGGTTCAGGCCTGCTTCCAATATTTTAGCAAATTGAGACTCATCTACTGGGAGACGTTGCAGACAAGCATAAGGTTTCATCAGAACACAGCTCTTCCTTGGTGCGACACTCCTGGTTGTACATCTGTGTCTCTCCCCACATAAAGCCACCAGAGATGCAGACAGACTGAAACTCACAAATTCCTCCTTATCCACGAGCCCCAGCATTCCTTGCATTTCACATCAGCATTGCCATGAAAATGCAAACACCTCTGCTGAAACAAGGTGTTGCCCCCATAGGGCTGGCTAATAAACAGCTCCTTGGATCAACAGAGATTAAAGCTTCTCTCAGCGTGGGTGATTCAGCTGTACTCCAGCACCAGTGACGCTTGGCTGTCCACGTCAATCCTTTCATCAGATGCTGTCCTCCATGTTGGAAGCATCAGAAGATGAAACCTGAACATTGCTTACGAACTCACTGTTTGTCTACGCACTGTTCTGTTT